TGGTGACCCCAAACTTGTTAGAAGTCAACATTCTTTTATTTGCCGAAGGTAATTTCATTAGTCCTTAGACGTAAATGGCTGTCGTTGAAATCTCGTTGAGAGCGAGAGGACTACGAGACATGGTTTTCCATTCTTTCATATGGTGCCCTCCCGTCATCATGTCCGCTATTTGAGAGGCAGAAGCAAGTCTCGTGGCTCTCACGAGTTCTCGGCGGCCATATGCAAATTTGACAACGGCCACGTTACTCGTATATGACTATATTCTGTTTTGCAATTGAGTGAATTTAGTTTTTGTCTTGAATATTGATCACAATTACGCCATCTAGCGATGACATGAAACCGTCGCTGGAGTGCGCAAATTGAACGGATTAATTTGGGATTTAGTGAAAAGTTGGTTGAAGCGGTTTGTGTTGCAGGACTTCAATTCGCAAACAACTATAGTTGGTCACTCGACACTGCAGTAACTGACTGAAATATACATTTTTACACTTCGAATCCTGGCTACGTCGTATCGCATGGTTGCGCACTTCACTGATAGGAGATTGTATTATTGACGATGACTGATTTAAAAAAGTAACCACACGCAATCAGGTACGCATATTCCTCTCATTCCATCCTCTATTCATCGTTTCACAGGTGAGGGTGATCTATTAAATACACTGTGATTGATTGGTCAAGTTGTTTTCAGCCGTCACTTGAAATTTATAAAACGTGTATACTGTATATAATCGGATGACGATTTTTGTATGTATTCCAATATACCCTATAAAAGTCACACGAGTTCCATTTTCTATTACAATGTCCCAAATTTGAGGAAATTAGAACTCGTTTTATAGACAAGTTTTACTATTGCCCAGCGCTTGAATGGAAATTTATTTTGCTACTGCAATCTGAAAACACACATACAATACAAAATCTTGCCAAATACGTATTTTATTCTTTACAAAAACGTCATAGTTTGTTGGAAGGAAATTTAACTTGAAATATAAATATAATTTTGTACTCATAACTATAAGTTTGTAATATTCAGACAAGTAACAGCATTGGCTATTCTTGTCAAACGATCTATTTATTTATTTTTGTTACATTTAAGTGTGTACATTATGGCCTATGGTACTGAATAAATATATTATTAAGTCACACTCTTTAATGACACAGCGCTTCTGTGATGTGTTTTGTTGTGAAATCGTTCGTTACTCATTTGCGACATAGAACTGCCCTCTAGAGGACGAAATTTATAGGCTACGTGCTATTAAAGCGCAGTGGTCGTCGCGCAGCGCGTGTTCGAATTTCATGTAAATGAACAATGTATTTTACACGCGTTGTATACCCATATCGATCAGAACGCGGCGCGACGACTGCTGCCCTTTAAACTCCAGCCGACCCACACTACTTTTAAATTGGGTGTAAACGATGTCTTTTACAAATGTATATGCGTTGTGTACATCGCATCGAACACGATGCACACAACTGTTGCGCTCTAAAAACAATCCCCTATGCAAAGCGTTATACTATTTCGTACGGGACAACTTTCTGGTACAACATAATCTTGCTCGTGGTAATAACCATTTGATATTGGAAAAACAATACATAATAAATTTATTGATATTGCTCTTTTCAAATTATAATATGAAAATACATCAAAACATTGTTCCACTAATTAGTTGCACTCAGTAATATGTATATAAAAAAAACAAAAAACAAATTGTGTTTTTCTCACCTAAACATAAACATTTTTTCAAATGGAGAGAAAATCAACAATTTGTTCTGATAGAGGGCGCACTTTAACAATGCATGTTGGGGTTCTAAAATAAACCATTAGTGATTATGATTGATTGGAATCTTAATCGTTCACCAATTTCAATCTTCCCCCTGCAAGAATATTGGTTTCTCCCTTGAATGATATAAACCATATACATATAGTAATAAGAATTCATTTTATACAAATAATATTTTGGCTGGATTCAATGCTAGCATTTTTATACACTTAAAAGTAATGAAAAATACTTCAGATTAATTTTTTTTTGGGGGGGGGGTGAATAATGAAAGCTAACCTCCAGCACATTTGATAATTGATTTTATCTACTTTATTTACTGAGAAATTGCATAATTTATTTCAAGAACCATAAAATACTACATTTTAAGACATAGTTGTATTGGTTGCCATAGGCGGCATCTGATTAGATTGAAATGAAAGATATTACTCATTATTTATAAGCAAACATTGTTAAAATAATTGTATAATAATTATATTATATGATAAACTTGTAAAAACCATTCACAATTTATATAGACAAAGTATGTGCCTCTTCTTGGTAACTCTCTCAACTAGTGTAACAACAAACTGCTACAAAAATAATTTTGTATTTTCCTGAAGAAATGAAAATCTAGAACTTAATAAACATTGAGGTTACAAAATAATTTGTAAATTGCATGCCTAATAAGTGTAAATTTCTGTTTATTTAATTCAAATGGTTGCAACTGAGCGGTATTATTTTAGGGAAGATTGTTGTCATGGGGGAAAAAAGCTTGGGTATACTAGTTTTTTTTTCCTTTTTCTCAACTAACCTATAAAAATAGCAAAAAATTGTCAATTTCATGTTCTCATTAACTTTTGGTGGTAGTTAGCAATGGAATTTGCATACCTCATTTTACATTATGCAAATAAATGTACATCCATGTCAATAATGTGCTGTACACATTTGATGATGGGCAATTTCGATCAAGTGAGGATATTCGAATGCAATATTCCTCTGTCGAAGATCGGCCGGTCGATGTGCGCTACGAAATAAAGAAATTCGAGTTCAAAATCAAATCGTTCGATTTTTGCGGCAGACGTTCGACGCGCGTCTTTCATGCATCTCGCGAGATCTCGCAGTTGTACGGAAAATCACCTATTTGATGATGACACTATGACCTTTATTTTGTTTATATGTTCAGTTTCACCATGGAAGGTACTATGGTTTCACTCATAACATGGAATCTCAGAAAACAGAAAATAGTCAAATATACAGAAAATTTTGTAATAGTCACTTTAAAATTATAATTCAACAATCAAACATTTCATCTTTTAGTTACCCCCGCTAGTCGAACAATATGCACAGGTCTGAGAATGTTTACGCTTGTTAAAGCGCGGTGGTCGTCGCGCAGCGCGTGTTCGAATTTCATGTAAATAAACAATGTATTTTACACACGTTGTATGCGTCACTATGAGTCCAATATCGAACAGGACGCGGCACGACGACTGTCGCTCTTTAAGTTGAAAAAAAAAAAAATACCCTGCCTCTTTTCCATTGCATCACCTTGCACAGATTAACCATTTTGTAATATACAGAAATAGCAGATGCTACAATGCAATTGGTCACATAGAAAGTACCTGTACACATATGAGGATTCAATCATAAGCATCATTGACAGAATTCACTAAACTACACAATGTACCTCAATGAATCTTCATTACAACATTACATTTACCCGTATAATAATCACTAGCGAGTTCTTGAAAAGTGTGATATTATGTAATTATTGAAATTTAGAAATTATAAAATAAAATAAAATAAAATACAATTTCAATTTATAAATAAAATGTTTATAAGCTTATACATATTTTCTTTGCAAATCAGAATTCAGAGCTGAGACACACAGACACATCAGTCTATTTAAGGGTGTACCTTGTTTAAAATGTTGGAAAAAAAATAGTTTCGCCATTTTGTTTTTTGGTCTATTCATGAGAAATTGACTTTCAAATATGTTGCATGTGTGAAATATGATGCTAGAAGACTGGTCGCATCATGGAAACTTGTTACTGAGTCACAATTTTCAACACGAACACTGCAAATATTTTACATCTGTGATTTGGTCATATCATATGAATTTATCTATAACTGGTTAAACTAAACATTTCAGTAGATTAGTATTAATGATATACCCATATTTTGATTAAATAAAAAAACTTGTATTTTACCCATTGTGAAACCAGTGACACTGCAAAACAGGTAATTTTAAGCAGCCTTTTTATATATTTTTTTTCATCCATGCAATACTGAGGCAAATTTGTGAAACCAAATGTTAGGATATGGCATGCAAATAACAGCGTGCCAGAAAATAAATATTTTGATTGATGAAGTTCTCAGTTTTACAGTTATTTGTTTGCTATTCTCAGATTGCATCAGAAATTGTTTGGTATTTACACTGTAGTTGGTTACATAGATGGAAAAATTTAACAAAATTGATGCTCTTTTAAAAACATAAAATAAAATAAGGTGTTTGAATAGCTTAGAATAATCCTGCATCCCTTGACTTCAACCTGACCTTGAAATGACCTTGAAATGACCTTGAAATGAATGGTTAATAATTGAAGGAATTGCAAAAAGTTGGATGCAAACTTTCCGGTAATACATTGTGGCAAACATTTTGTAACACTATCACTTGATGGCTGTGTCAAAATGTTTTAAAAAGCCAAATCTAAATTTGGTTCGTCCTCAACTACACAAGACTGAAATGACCATAATAATCACTGAGATAAAATGTTGTAAATTTTCATTCTGTCGCATTAATAAAAAAAAATGTTTTCCGGTTGGTCTTCGGTTTCTAAACATTTTGCGGGTATAAAAACAACACTTCAATATTTTATCTCACATGGATGAAAAAGAGTGACAAAACACAAAACAAAAACAAACATGGAATG